GATTCGAGGAATAAAATTTACTAATAATCAAATTTAAAAGTAACTCAGACATAAAATTTACACCGAAGCTCTTTTTTAATCTGCACAACTTAGAATTCTTTTTATAAATCTCAGCATTCATGATATGCACGTATGAAAATCGCGAATATATATGAATGTGAGTTCCTAATTTGAAAACGAGGTACATTCTGTCGAGTGAATTTCGGTCCTACCCCCTCTAAAAATCGAGCGCCTCAAAATTTATGAGGATTTGAAGATTTTAAATAAATCTGGAAAAAGTTATATTTTGAAAGTAGTGATTTTTTGGCAATTTTTTTATTTCTAAGAGATGCGCTGTTTAAAACAGGGTCGAAAATATCCATAAAGTGGCATAGTTGAGTCAATGTACATAATGAAATTGTTAAATTAGCTAAATAATAGTCATACAGCTTTAATATGGCGGCCAGCCGAGTTTCAGGATTAGGCTAAGTTTACAACCTAGCGTATTACCGTAGCGAGAATACATAAACATCGCTACTAGCCATCATTTACAGAGTCATTCGTGTTTATCGCTGTGAAAGCAAATGAAAAATATGTCTTTTGTAAAGTGAATAGCTTTTCTCATATTTAAAGCCATACATACATACATACATATATGTACATGTGTACATAATAAATCAAAACAGCTCTTCTACTGCTATTACATACAGTACAATATGCTTAGGTTTCAGCATGAATTGTCAAAAGGTTATAGAAACAAATAAAAAGATCTCCGTAAGTGTTTAAAGTATAGCAAAATCATACACGATTAACTAGTTATAATAGGGCAGTTCACGATGAATAGCATTTGCCAACTTTACACCTAAAATCGTGAACTTCCCTATTATAAATAGGTTTGTTCCATACGCTTTTCGGGCTGTTTCAGTAATTAGAGCGTAAAATNCTCTCACAAGTGTCAAAAATGTGTCAAACCGTGCCAAAAGTGCCCAGAGCGTGAGGAACGCAAAAAACTACTTTTCGTGCCCGGAATCAAGAAATCAGTTGTAAACAATGATTTTATATTTATTTATCTTATATATGTAGCTAATAAAATTAGCAGATACCTACATTTCTGAACCTTTAGTGCTATTTTCCATTTCTGTATTTTACAAAATTTGCTATCGGATGTAAACAAACAACAGCTGTTATTTAAAATTGACTTCTTGCACATTTCTGCCCGGAAAAAAAGTCCGGGCTGTTTCGGGCACGAAGAAGAAGACATTTACGATCCAAAAGTGGAAGGTATGCGCTCTCTATTACCCATTTTTCTAGAGTGAGGAAAGCTTTCTGGACATTTTCGGCACCCGCGGGTAGCCGCAGGCTCGTGTGGAAAAAACCTAATATTTAGTCGTGTATAATTTTGCTACACTTTAAACACTTTCTGCTTTTTAATCGATAGCAATTATGCTGGCGAAGGAGTCACTATATTGGCTACGACTTCCACACAAAATAAGCTAATAGCTTAAATTTCTCGTCAAATAATACACGCCTAATTTTGATCGAGCGATATCCATCGCATCGCGCAACGCCATTACTCTAGGTTGTAAACATAGCCTTACCTTCATAATACTTTGAAAATATGGTCGTCGTTGAAAACTTACACTGATTCTTGAGTTTGGTACAAAATATTTACCAAGCCAAAAGAACGGTGTATTTATTTTGCCTTAGACTTAGAAATATTCACAATTTACACCATTCAATTTGAGAATTTGGTATAAAAAATGTACCTTGTCAATTAAAAAAGACGAACAATGCACAGTTGGGAAATACAGTATTGTGAAAAATAATAGGGACACGACATTTTGACAAGCTTTGCTCTTTTTCTTTCGTTTACTTAACCTTTGGTATTTTTTATAAAAATACAGCTCATTATCTAACAAAAATCTTTTTTCAACAAGATTTTACAACAACAAGTAACTAAGAAAGGCGTTGATTTTTGATATTTTTTGCTGACCGTATAGCGGTTTTTTTCCATATAAAAATAGATTGTGTTTATTCGTTATATGGAAGTAAATCCGACAAAAAAGTTCTAAGAAAAAGCAACGTTAATTTTTAGCTACTTGTACATTCGTAATAAAAAGTTTGTTGTTGTTGTAAAATCTTTTTGAGTTTTTATAATTTTTCTACAATTTTCAAATTCCGACTTATATGGTTTTTGTTAGATAATAAGCTCTATTTTTTGAATAAAAAATATAATAATCATTAATCAAACAAAACCAAAAACTAATCAAAATGTCGTGCCCCTATTTTTTTTGCCATGACTATATATACCAAAACATATTTTCCGGCATATTTAATTTGCTGAGAACTGTGAAAGAAATGCACACAACTTCATATAAAATAAATAAAAAACTGATTTGTTGAATTAAAGAAAATTTATTCAGATTTATTATTTAAATATTTGCGNCTTCAGCATTTTTTCTCTTCAGCAAATCTCTAAAGTATTTTTGAGTACTAATTAAGTCTATCTTTTCATCGACATTTTGGTTTACGAAGTCTACAAATAGTATTAAAATGGCACTTAGCAAAGAAAAGCGGTTAGGTTTTCCTGGTGCAGCTATTTTCCATGTGCACGTTTTTAAAAGTGAATCAGCAAAGAGCATTGATTTTAATTGTGTTCGTCGCGTGAATTGTTTTTTAGTTTTCTTAACGTGGTCCAGTTTTGATAGAATGTAGTCTGTTGCTTTTTGTACATACTCATTTTGGTTTTCAGTCAACTCCGCATTGAAATGATTTAGCACATCAATTGAGGTGATCGGCAGTCTGGGAAATGATATACCTTCATATTCTTCAGATGCTACCCATTCTTCTGTAGTCGAGTCAGATATTAGGGAACGTTTTTCACGGGGCTTGTTCATGAATTTAGTCACCGACCCTGATTTTACAAGCTCCTGTAGTGCAAATACTTCACTTCCTAGATATTCCACAGAGTTTTTCAATTCTTGGATGGATGCGAGAACGTCGTTATTATGTTTGCAGGTATTATTTTGATTCAGGAAACTTGAAATGCCCACCAAATAGTATTTTAAAACTGCAATAGTTAATATCATGAAGTTAAGACACATTTCGTTGTTATGAATAAAATGGCCATAAACAACTCACCATTTGCTTCATTTGAATTTAGTTTAAGAAACTGAAGTAATTCTTCTTCGCTTGGTAGTTCGACCCCTTCATTTGGTCCTGTATTGTGTACACCTTCGTTCAATGATTTCATTTCATTTGGATAAAATTCTTGAACTTGTGGTGAAATAATTGCTGTCGGACTCACAAATGGCTGCAAGTTAGTCGGCTGTGCTAGTTGACTTGAAGGCCTTGGCTGGTGTTGGCTCTGAGCCGACATAATAGTTTCATACTCATTTTTAATTTTTTCGTGTTGATGAAATTGTTGACGAGTTCGACTTATATTGCTTATATTTCGATTTTCATCATCAGTATCCTCGAACCGACTCAATTTTTTTGCAGCATCCGAGGCTGCATCAAATAATTCAAAAACGCCTTTCAGCCTAAGCAATCTACACGGCTCCCATTCGTCGGAATCGTTAAAATTCGCTGGAAAGTCCAATCGGCATTGCTTCTTTTGATTTTTCTTCGACCTTGGCCAATAAATATAATTATTATTAAACCAATTGTATGGTACAGCTTCCACGAACTCTGAACCATCTTTTTCTTCACAAACAACACAAATAAACTTTCCGTAAATATTCATTTCAACAGCCATGTTAATAGCGAGAACTTATGCTTTCAAATAAAATACGTTGACAGAAGTTTAAACACCTGCTACACGTTCATTATTTAGAACTTGTGCAGAGTTCGGTAACATTCACCACTAGCAGAAAAAGTTATTTAACACAAAACTAGTAGCAAAACTAGTTCTTGCAAGTGAACAGTTGTTGCACTGTTTTTACATTCCTGCTGTAAACATATAAATGATAATCATTGTAAACATTTTACAATTTATAAATGGCAGCTTTTGACATGTATTGTTCTTCTTAAGCTCTTCTTCTAGCTAATATCTGCCAGTAAAAATTTCTCTACCAAGAATTTGCAGCTCTCCCGTGTTATTACGCTCTCGATTCAATTCTCTCTTGCAAATTTTCTGGGTTATTATACAATTTTCCAGTACAAATTTGCAGATTCCAGTACAAATTAGTACTGACTATTTGTTACTATACACAACTTTTTTATGTTTCGTTGACGTTCACGAACGAAAATATGCGGCGTTAAGCGAAGCGCACATTGGCGCGATTCTGTCGTTGCGAATCCGCAAGCCCAAAAATTACAACAATGCTACCCATACATTTTAATGCGCTAGCGCACACTTGCACGATTCCGTCGCTGCGAATTTTTCGAACATTCAATGTTCCTCTCTATTGACGCGTTCGAAACGCGGCTTGCAGCGTTTTGAAGGCGTCAAAGAAGAAGAAGAAAGGTGTCACAGCAATAAAGGCAAAGAAAAAAAAACGTGTAATGTACAAAAACTAATAAAAACGTTCGTAATAATAGTATTTTGTACGATTTGGGCACGCCGAGTGCGAAAATACACGAAATAAAGGGAAAATTGAGTGAATTGTACATCGGAAATCGACGCGAAAAAATCGCTCAAGTGTGCGCACAGTATGCAGTGCGCNCGTCGTCGAAAACTTACACTGATTCTTGAGTTAGGTACAAAATATTTACCAAGGCAAAAGAACGGTATATTTATTTTGCCTTAGACGTAGAAATATTCACAATTTACACCATTCAATTGTTGCCACTGCAGTTATTTTTACGTTCCAAAAATCCTACCAAATCAGTTTCCAAACAACCAATTTTTGTATCATCCGAACATGATATTTTATTTCGTTTCATATTTGCTTTATGTAAAAATTTAATCTTTGATGTTAATTCAATTTATATCAATTATGTTATGTCTAAAAAGTAAANTATTTTATTTCGTTTCATATTTGCTTTATGTAAAAATTTAATCTTTGAGGTTAATTCAATTTATATCAATTATCTTATGTCTAAAAAGTAAAAGAAAATGCAATAGATGCATATAGCATTTAGTACACATTAGAGCTTTTCAACATCAGCAACTTTTTATAATCGCTAATCGACAATTTTTTTTTTTTAATTTTTACAAACGAACACTACGCTACAACAGTACAATGCAATCCTACAAGTAACCAGTTCCGTGTCTGAACTCAGTCAATACAGAAGACCCCTAAACAATTTTGTCTCCCGAAGGAAAATAAAACTACCAATTTGACCAAAATGGTAAGGCTGTTGGCAACACTACTTGTGGAATGTTTAATAGCTCATATCAGTGTTGCCAAATATCGGCTTTTCCTACCAAAACTGGTAGGTCTTTTCCATTTAGTAGGTTGGTAGGCTATATTGGATTTTGGTAGGTGAATGTCTATACGTAGTTAATTTGTTTTTATTGTACTAGCTGTATTTTGGTTTTTCTAAATGTTATGTTGGCATTAAAAATATATTAAAAACTTAAATACAATTTTGGTAGGTTTTGGTTGAGTTTGGTAGGAAGTTTTGGTAGGAAACAAAATTTGTCCATGGCAACACTGGCTCATATTCAAACTGGTGGTGTATTAAGTACACACACACTAGCTTTGTTTCTTTACTTTTGTAGCAGATAAGTATCAGGAAGACGAACGGGAAAAATTACAAAATTTAGTGGTTGTGCTCACTTGCTTGGTTATCAGGTTATGTGGTTATAATTTTTATTCTGTTTACAAAAATCAAATAAAAAGAAAATTCCCCCTTTCCAACTCCATAGCACCTGCAGTATAAATTTGCACCAAAAAAATTTTATACCATTAGAATTAGAAAAAAAGGGGGAGCAACGTCCACTTCTTCGTTTCTTGCTAGCTTAACGGGCCGTATTCTGCA